TTTTTTTACCTTAATGGAGATGAATGATGCTGCTGTGAGCCTTGCACCCGCTCTACATCTGTGCAAATTCAAAAACTTAAAACTGCTTCCAAGACAATAAATTCGTGTTGCATGTTTTTTGTCATTATCCCGACCACGACAGGCTAACGGTAACTTTACGACGAAAGCATCATATGCAGAACTTGCAAATACCTTTGATCTTTATTTTTTATACAACTTTTATATGTCTGAACACTTTCCGTCAACCGTATGCTGCGACAATTTCGTCTAACCCTACTACAATAGTTCCTAGTTCCCGTTTTATGTCTCCGTCTGAACATCTATTGTAGATTTCACAGATTTGTAGATATGAAATTAATCTTTTTCACGAGCCATAGAATACATCGTAAACCATTTGTAAAAATCCGTGAATTTGAATTTGAATAACGAAAAAATAACAAATAGTCACCATCTTGTAAAATTGCCGGTACTTCTACCATCTCGCTTCTCTGTACCCAAATGAAAAAAAACAACTTTCTCCTAAAATTCGCAAAGAATAATAGGAAAGAAATCAGAAGAGAAAATGCATTAAGTGAAATTTTCCGGCTGGGAGATGTGATACCTGAGATAAGCTCTTGTAAACTTCCCTTCCTGAAACGTACGACCGCGAAATACACCGCAAATTGTCACCTCTGATATCTGATAAGAGCGTTTCCTTTTTTCTCTCCTGTTTGTTTTGGGGTTAGAGTTTTCTGATAACTTGATAGTATCGTTACTTTCATTCTTCATTGTACTTTTTAACGTTAGTACTCTGTCTTTCTGCATTTTTTTCTTTCTTATCACATGCTTTCTACTTTCTACCATTCGAATCGTTATCATCCGTCATTGTCCCCGATGGAGATACAATTTGATGCGTAATTTTCTACAAGCAACCTCACTAGGCAATATAAAATAAAGCAGATGCAATGAATGCAATGCTAGTTCATTAAGTCTAATTTCAAGAAAAGTATCTAATAAGTTCGTTAACCTAATTTTTTTTTTTAACGTATTTTCACCGCTCCGTAAAGGATTATATGGTCTGTGATTACTGAACATTTACTAATATGAAAGACAGATGAAAAAGTAAACAACAAAAAGGATATCACAGTCGCTTTCACAAATACTGTAAAACATATAATTTCTATAAACAACAGTCCTTTAGCATTAAGAAGCCAAGGATTTCTCATGGGATGGAGGTTGCTCATAATTTATAAAGGTTGATTAAGGTTATCTGTGGGAAAGTTAGAGTGGGTGGGGGAAGGGGGGGGACGAGAAGGATCTAAATAGACTTCTTACATTCTACATTTCTCTTCCGATAGACAGGTAAACCACATGTCCTCCAACATTTCCTGTCATCTAAATATTTCATCAAATTTACTCTTCCTTTCGTAACAATAGTGAGGTATTATGTAGGCCTACCACTAACAAAAGCCTTGCATTTTCGTTCTGGATAATGAAGTAACTTGACTGTGACAATGCCGCTTCTTGCCGTGGCACCGCCTGCTCAGACTCACTTTCTACAGGAAGTCAGAAGGGCGGGGTTCGAACACTGTGGAAATTGTAACTAAAAGCGAAATCTTTGTGATATTTCTTCTCTAACTGAAACACGTTCACTGACCTTATTTCGTGTGCTGTGATCCAGTATTATCTTTATCCTTGAATTACTCTATCAAGAAAAGACCTCGAAAATACTTGATTAGTCATCTTTTCGGGTTGATTTTCATTACTAGTTGAGACAACTTTAATGATTCCAGACCCACGGGATATCTCTGTTATCTTCAAGAAATTATTATTATTATTTTTTCTTAACATGAATGAACATGATGAAAGCAAATGCATGTAAATGGAACGGAATATTGTGGTTAAAAAACAAACCAACATTCAATTTTTTAATGATGTTTGTAGATGCATATATTCAAGTAGTAAGCGGTAGTCATACAGACACCAAAACCCAGTCTCTCTCTCTCTCTCTCTCTCTCTCTCTCTCTCTCTCTCTCTCTCTCTCTCTCTCTCTCTCTCTCTCTCTCTCTCTCTCTCTCTCTCTCTCTCTCTCTCTCTCTCTCTCTCTCTCTCTCTCTCTCTCTCTCTCTCTCTCTCGGCATTCTAATGCAACTATGCAAGCTGTTAGTTTTAACCACTCCACATTCATCTGTGGGAGCCAGCGACTGTGAATCTCCCAAGCGTCCCGTGAACCATAGCCAGCAACGGTCACATTGTCGTGGATTAAATTTGCAGTATTTTGCCTTACTTGCTGTTTAGCTTGGACCAGTTCGAGGTTATTCTGTTGCAAAGGAAGATAATGTAAATAATATACCTGTAAAGGCTAACTCTCGTCGGATTTATTTTTTTTTATATAAGTTTTATGGACTTTGTGGAATAATTTTGCCTGGTTTGAAGAAAATATGTAAATGGAATGTGGTATATCTAAAAGTCTAGAGCACGTATCTAAAATCGTCGAATATTTCAGGAAGCACTTTCCATT